TCATGTGCTTTTGGCCTTCCAAAAAAAACAAGGGGTTACCCGCCCAACGTGGCACCCGGGAAGCCCGAAGAAACAAACCCATGTTTTAGACCCCAGGAATTTCGAGCGTGTTGAACCCAACACGTCAAAACCCAACCATTTCTTTCAAACCAATCCAGCCGTTTCTCAAAACCCGTCCTTTCTCCCCCCACATTCCCCCCCCCCCAAAAAAAAAAAAACGCCCCCGGTCGCTCCTCGGGCCACCTGGGAGCTCTCCTCAAAGGACTTGGCGCAGGACCCGCGCAGCTCCCAGCTGCTGTCCGGGGCCAGTCCTACGGGTGACGTTGTTTGTTAGAGTTGGCCCCGTTTTTGGTAGGTGTTCAAGGGAAGCCACAAGAAGAAACACTAGGAAAACCGCTTTTTTGTGTGGTGTTCAAGGGAAGCAACACGGAATATCCAAATCCATGTTGGGGCGTCCGACCTTGAAAAAGACAATCCCTCCTGGTTCAGGGCGCTTTGCAAACTCACCGGCTTGAGCAGTGGTGGGCTCCGTTTCCTTTGGCGCCTCCCGAAAAACTGAATACAAGCCAAAAAGGGCTCCGACGAAAAGGCATGTCCCTGCTGTAAAGGCCTAAATATATAATTGGCAGTTTGATGGAAGGCATCAATACATACAGTAAACAAAGTCTAAATACTTTGAAGGGCCTAGTTTAATTTCTCATAGCGGGGTACTTGACAACTAAGTTCAGTGATACTCATAGAATTGAAGGTTTCGCAATTGTGACCCTCCTACTGCCTACTACGGGTATCCTGAGTACCTACTGTCTGTGAGCACGCTGAGTCCTATTTGCCGCAGCAGGTAAGGTTTGCTTGCCCGTAATGAGTTAGTTCAAGCACCTAATTCAGCTCTGGCAATCAGCACACCACACGTCACAGGGAACAAGTGTTTTGACTACATGTTGAGTTGACTTCAAGATTTCGCCCCTTGGTTTGCTGCCCAAACAGAAAAGAGACCCCAGCCCGATCCAGTTCTCGAAGGATCTCAGTGGACATTGACATCTTGTGCCTTCCAACTGGCTGTGTTGCATTGGCAAGGAGCGCCGCTCCGGTCGTGCAGCTTGCGTTGACGATTCGTGCAAGCTTCTCAAGGCGAAATCGGTTCGCCTCATGCGGCATCGGCCACAGCAGCAAGCTTAGTTTGAGTGCACGATTGCGTGTGTTTAAACTGTTGCCCTTTACACTACGATGACATTCTGGCTTGATGATCGTGATCCTCAGAAAAAAGCTGGAGTCTTGACGCGGTCCTTGACATCAGGTGAAAAACTGCAAGTCAATCGACGCCTCTAGTCTTTCACTCGCATCAATAGTCAAAAAAAGAGTAGGTACGAGTCCCCAGCTTTCAAGCGGCCGTTGGGCAAACTCACCCAAGTGTCAGAAACCAACGACAGACCAAACAGCAAACTATTTGGAATGTGCTTGCTGCAAGAGGGCCATGAGACCCACAACCCTTTTCTTCAACCCTTCACATCTGGTCAAATCTATCAGCATGGCGTGGTGAGCATCAAGCCCATGCTTCGCAAACCAAAAACAAAAAGGCTGTGTACGAAGGCAATCAATGCAAAAGGGGTCCACCTTCTTGCGACATGTTCCTTCATCCCACAACCCGGTGCTCCTTCCGCATAATCGCGAACCCGCGTGAAGCCCATCAGCCGTGGCTGGTCCCTCTTCTGGTTGTCTATGACACCTCCAGAAAGGCCCCGGCACGCCACTCCCCCATCAAGGAGTGCACAAATGCATTGGCCAGTCTTTGGGAGGAAATGAAGGGGTGGGTTTACCTCGAAATTCACAAAGCGTTCTCCATCTCAGCGTCTACCTTTCCACGATTGAAGTTCCATGAGAACATCATAAATCTGTTTCCTCACACCCAGAAGGCTCATATTCCCAACTTCCGCAACGCATGATGATACGCGCCAAGTCAATTAGAACCAGCGGGTCAACACTCCAAACATCAGATTGGTCAAGCAAAACACCCTCATCCCACATCTAAGCATACCACATGGTACGCCTTGGTGTGAGATGATGTGGACCCTTTCCAGCATAGTTGTAGCATTTCCGCAAAGCCAGTGCGCCGCGGTGTGAGGTTCCGTATCCACGACTGGAATCTGCATCCTGTGATTTTGCTTGCCCTGTCGCCATGCAAAACAACACGCCTTCTCAGTCGATCAAAGGGACTCCCTCAACAACAAGGGGCCCTACACGGATTGTAATACACGGCTTCCAGCTTTCACCAAAGGACAATCATGTGTGTGTTGCCAGTAGACACCTGAGCAAATCGGAAATGACATCCGTTTTGAGGGGTCCTACTCAGCAACGCAACCCCTTATAACGAGGACACGAGCTGAAGCTGGACCCCTCAGCGGTGTTTTGAGGTCCTTTGACACTAAAAGCCTTCAAGTGCCACGCAATGCGGGCCTACATGCCACTATCCGCTACCAAACACATATACTGGTGGTGATTTGCGCTCAGAGCACCCTTTCTTGTTCGGCTGGCAGCCAAAGCGTTAGGCAAAACAAGAAAAGCCGGACTGCCACCCATGCAAGTGCCTTTTGCAGTGGATGGACTATTCCACAACCAGGCATGTGCCTTGCATTCCTGCACGGCAAACGTGCAATTTACACATTGGACGCTTTCCAGTCGACTCTGACAACATCTACACCGCCGAGCACGACTGTAATTCTGCTTGTGGAAAGCCCCTTTTCAAGGCGCCATCTTAGTTTGCTCTGGGGGTGTGGGGGCAGAGGACGGCTTGTTCAAGCATGCTTCACAGCTCCAACATCCCGATGTGGGCTGCCCTTTCAATTTTTCATAGCCACTGATGTTTCAACATCCCCAATTGAGTTTCCCTTGAAATCCGGCTGCGTGGGCCAAGCTTGCAACTAAGCCAGGCGAATCGTCAAGCGATCGCCACTGCAGCCCAGGAGCAGAAGAGGCGTTTCCAGCAAGAGCCTTGCGTTGGGCTGGACAGCTTCCGATACCCAGGCCCCCCGCCCCAATTTGTGTGACGCCTTCCTTAGGCTTCAGTCACAACCTCATGCGAACGACCTGTTGCGCCTCGGTAAAAACCTGGCGGCAGTGGAACGCAAGACTGCAGGTCAAATGCAGTCCTATAGCTTACGCTGTAGTGACTTGTCTGAAGCCTTCGTTACCGCTGATAGTCACCTCAACGCGGCGCATGTCACTTCGGTCACGGAAGTTCCCTGACCAAAAGGCGACAACAACAACTCAGAACATCTCTGGGTTGGCCGGCGCTTTTTGCGTGGCACTGACAAATGGAAATCGAATCCACTTCTGTGATACAAACAAAAGGCCGAACCCCAAAGACTAACAGCCCCCCATGAGGGGGAGATTCGCTTGTATCACGTGGGGACACACTCCGAATCCCACAACCCTGCCTTGAAAGGTCTGAAACTGGGTGATAGGTGGCAGCTGAATTTCTACAGGCAGCTGCCAAAGGCCTGCCACTCCAATAAACCGAAGCGCTGATTGAGCATCACATCTGCCTGTGCCTAGGTTACTTACCGATGGTTGGGCTGGAATGAGTGCATCCCATCCTCTCAAGCCGTCTGCAAAGACTATACAGATGAGCTTGCGGATGCCCCACATCCATATCGCACCCTGGGCAGCTGTCTGACAGCAAGCTTCCACCACTACCATGTGCCACAAAAATACAGCCCCGCCTTGCAGCCGACCAAGAACCAGGTAATATCAAAGCTAATTGTTTCTGGAAAAGCAAACTCGCGATAAGCCCCACAGGCGTGGCCAGCAAAATCGCACTGATTCCTGGGGAGCGAACGATGTACCGACCTGTGCCAAGCCAGTCTTGGGGGCCCTGGCATGCCCTTGCGCACTAATTGGGTTTGTCCCCAAACAGCGACCCCGCCGTAGCACAAAGAGGGGGGTGCTCTTCCTTTTGCTTCCCTTGCAAAACAACTCAATTCAATCAGCGTTCTCTGCACGCGCTGGACGCCCTGCAAAACACCCGGTTTCTTGCCCGCACTTCGTCCAAGAGGCTGAGAAGGCCCCAGCCGCCCACATAGTGGGAGATGAAGCCGGCGCGCCAGCTCTGACTCTGAGCCCCCAAAAACTCCAGCCAGCGCCCGGCCTCCTGAGGGAAACCAAAAAGATCAGCGGTTTTGGTCGCTAAATGTTGCTTGAACAACCAACCCGCAAGCATTCAGAGCCGAGAGGGAAGATAAATGGAAAAAACACGTGCCGGAAACATGTCATTGTTGTCCTGAAGATATGTTACGGTGGTGACCACAAACCTTTTGAGCATGACATTGGAAAGAAGATGGTCCTGTTGGGTTGCAACACGAGGCAAAGCGGGCCAAGTTCACTTCAACACAAGTCCTCAAAACAGACTCAGCTCACTGTCATGGACAGCAGGGTCAAAGCAGTCTTTGTAGGGCAATTACAACACTCGTCCAAGAGCAAATCGACATTTGTGCCACGGTTTTAAAGCTCTTTCTGTGGGCCACCCTCATAGTTCCCTAAATGAGACCCAATTCCCTACTACAGGGCTTATGATCGTCCCTACATACCCCAAGGCTGTTTTGACCAGCCGCGAGTTCATATCCGCTCGACTCAGCCATTCTCACAAAGCTGCTTCCCGCTGCGAGGCACCCATGGCTTGCAGGCCCGGCTGAGCGAGAAATGTGGCGCTCGCAGGTCAGGTTCCCTTCATCGGCCTTCCCAACTCGGACCCCGCTGACCGCTTTTCAGCATGTCAAACTGGACGCAGATTCGACCTTGGCATTCCTTGCGCAGCGCCTTGAACTCACAGGCTATCAATCGCAACGCCATCCTTCAGTACTGCAGCAGATTCCATGAGTCGTTCTGGAAGTCCCTGTTTGGATGCTGCATATCCCCCTCAGGGAGGGGTGAGACCATGGATCTCGTGAAACAGGCATGGCAATGCGTGCTCCTCTCAACCACACCACCACTCCTGACAGGATGCCTTCTCAGCTGGCAACAGTGACGCCGGCACCACCAACTTTGCGCAAGCAGCTGGGAAGATTCACTCCTTGCAAATTTTGAGTGAACTGATTGCCAAACGTCAGGGTCTGCAAGCCACTTGGCAGGCTCACTCCTTGCAAAGTGTGGTTGAAGCACTGGCCAAAGGTTAGGCTCTCAAGGGTCCTGGGAAAACTCACTCCCTGCATACTTTGGTTGAACTGCTCACCAAACGTCAAGCATTGCAAAGCGTTGGGCAAACAAATGTCCTGCAAACTGTGGTTGAAGCAACCGCCAAAGGCAAGGTTGCGAAGGCTTCTAGGCAGACTGACTCCCTGCAGGGTCTGGTTAAATCTGTAGCCAAACTTGAGAGTTTGCAGGGTGCTAGGCAAGCACACGTCCTGCAAGCTTTGGTCGAAGACATAGCCGAATGCAAGATCTTGCAGGGTCGGTAGAGTCAGTCCTTGCAAACTATGGTTGAACTGGTCGCCAAACGTCAGGCTCTTCATCGCGCAGGGCAAATTCACTCCCTGTAAGCTTTGGTTGAAGTCATTTCCAAACGTCAGGCTATGCAGGGAGCTGGGTAACGTCACACCCTGCAGGTGTTGGTTGAATTGATCACCCAACGTCAAGTTCTGTAAGGCGGGCGCAAGATTCACTCCTTGCAAACTTTGGTCGAATCTGTAGCCAAACTTCAGACTCTGAAGCGTGCTGGGCAAAGTCACGCCCACCAAGCTATGGTTAAAGTCGTTGCCGAAGGTCAGGCTCTGCAAAGTGCCGGGCAAGGTGAGCCCTTGCAAGCTTTGGTCAAACCTGTCGCCAAAGGTCAGGCTTTGCAGGGTGCTTGGCAAACTTAGTCTGCCCGAGTGGTCAAGACTGCAACTGAACGTCAGGCCCTGCAAGGAGCTAGGCAGACTTCCCAAAGGTTGCATGAACTGATTGCCCAGCATCAGGTGTTGCAGGCCTCTTGGCAAACTCGCTCCCATGCTTTGATTGAATCTGTCGCCAAAGGTCAGGTTCTGCAAAGCGCTGGGCCAACTGACTCCCTGTAAGCTTTGGTTGAAGTCATTGCCAAACCTCAGGCTCTGCAAGAGGCTGGGAAGGCACACTGCATCTAAGCTTTGGTTGAATCGCGAACCAAACCTCAGGCTTTGCAGGGCCCCAGGTAAAGTCAATCCCCTCAAGCTTTGGTCAAAGTTATTTCCAAAGGTGAGGCTCTGCAGAGCCGCGGGCAAACTGACCCCGTGAAAGCTTCGGTTAAAGCTATTGCCAAACGTCAGATCCTGCAAGGAGCAGGGCAAAGTCACCCCTTGCATGTTTTGATTGAAGTCATAGCCAAAGGCCAATACTTTCAAGGTGCTGGGCAAGCACACTCCTTGGAAGCTTTGGTCGAAGTCATCGCCAAAAGTCAAGCTCCGCAGGGTGCTGGGCAGACTCACTCCTTGCAAACTTTGGTTGAACTCGTCGCCAAATGTTAGGCTCTGCAGGCTGGGCGGCAGACTCACTGCCTGCAAAGTGTGGTTGAACCGATTGCCCAAAGTCAAGCTCTGCAGGCTGCTGGGCAATGCCAAGCCCTGCAATCTTCGGTTCAACATTGTGCCAAATGTCAGGCTCTGCAGGGTCATTGGCAAGCCCAAAGTGGAAAGGACATCCATGCTTTGTCTGTGCCAGCTCAGCTCTGTGATTCCGTCCAAAGCTTGGGCATTGGTTTCGTTGCGACGTCCTGTCAGCGCTTCCCACGCAACAAGCAGATTGGTTTGGGTGTACGTGTAAACCCCGTCCAACGGCAAGTCTTGGTCCATGAACCGCCGTTCCGGTGACATCGCCACGCCGCCGAAGCTGAGGTGAAGCACGGCCCCGGGTTTTGGAGGCAGCTGGGACCGCACGAGCTGCAGGAGCTCGCTGCCCAGGATCTCAGCTGCAACGCTCAAGCGCAGCTCCAGCCCGGCGAGGCTGGAAATCCTTAACTCCATGGCGTCAACTTCCCAGGTCCCAGAGTGTCCCGGAAACGGCCGCAACTCTGGGAGAAATATGTGGCAGGTCAACCACTGCACGACTCCTAGACAAACTACTGTGCTCAAGAATTAGCAGGGCACAATCTCAAGGTGACCCTGTGCAACAGAAACCAGAGATGTGCGCACATTCACATACAACGATACAGTATCCGTTATACCATTTATCCTACTGCAAGGGGAGTGAGCCGTCAACCTATTGGCCCCGTCTTGTTCGCATGTCAGCCGTGGTCGACGCTTCCTACATGGTCATGCTCCTGACAATTGGGGTTTTCTGATTGTTGTCCAAACTCTAAGGCTCCATGACCAGCCCTACCAACTCCAAAGGGTGCTTCATCCATGGCACATAGAACTCCAGGAAGACACCGAAAACGGAAGCGACTCATTCCAGGAAGTCTGTTGGTGCTCACTAATAAGCGATCTAAGGCGATCAACACAAATGCTTGGGTTCTCTTCAAAATCCTTTTGAGCAACAATCAACGGCGCAATAAATTTA